ACTCACAATGACATTCAGCCTTTAAATGACGTTCTTAGTTGAATGATTTCACGTTCATAACATAAAAGGATAGCAATAGGGGTGCACCAGACAGACAGGACGCTGGTGTTTGGTGTGTTTTATGTGTTGTGATGGCCTGTAATAAGTAAAGATTCCCTCCCCTGTGTGTAGAGATATGACACACATACGCTCATACCATGCACTCAGTTCATTAGTCCATAGCATCCTGTCCCCGACTGGAGAGGGTCATGCTTTTGATGAATGAACTGTGTAGCATGTAGCTTCGGGCTAAGATTCTGCACCTCAAGAGGCAGACAGAGACCCAACTCTGGATATGAGCGAAGAAAGGCAAGAAAGAAAGGAGGAAATGAGGGAGGAGAGAGAGAGAGAGATGAATTTGGATTACCCAGGAGTTCTGTCTCCCCCGAGTCCCGCATCCAAGATACATTAGGAATCTAATGTGCTATTATTCTCTATCACCCCCCTAAGCCTAAAGCATCTGTCCTTGGGGTGTCTCCAGTAATAGACAAGGGCTTTCGGACCCTTCGCTAAGACAAGATAGCAGCCTCTACAAGGGCTCTTGACATCCTGCCGACTTAATCTGCAAGTACTTCCACAAAATTGACATTGCCTAGAGAGTATAGCAATCAGCGGACATGGTGTCACAGAGCATTTATATTTCAGCAGTGTTTCCAGAGACAGTGAAATCTGGCCTTTAGAAGAGGAAGGACTGCAATTCTTTCTCCTGGTTTTTCCAACTTTAAAAGACAGTGGTTGGAGTTTCTTCAAGGTTAGTGGTAGGCGTGTGAGTTATTCCAGAACACGGGTGGTTATGTTGCATCAACACATGTGTTATCTAGTGCCAACAGTATTAGTAACTAGATCCCGCATTTGTCTTTGTGAGTTAGAGCTAGTAGAAGTATTTCATTGGCTCTATTTGAATCACAGGAAGAGATTTATTAGATTTTGAAGATAGAATTGTCAATGAAACAGTATCTGACTAAACCTTAAATGACATTAAACTCCGCTTTCTCTTAGTTTTAATGGATAACAGGCTTTATATGAACACCTCAGTCTCTGATGGATTCAATCAGTTGCTGTAAAATCAGTTAATTATTACAGTATTTTTTTAAATTAAGAAATACCAAGTGACCACCAGCACTGTTAGGGCTCATCTCACTTCCACACATGCAATTTATTTATTTTATTTATCTGTCAATGTTTTACGCTCCAATTCCTAACAACGCTGTCAATCCAAATGCTTACATAAACTCCAGATCTGTGTGTTTAAAGGATAAGTGTGGTGACATTCTACATTTTTCTTTATTCTCAACAAACCCCATGAAAAGGCTAAAATAAACAATGATTTCTATCCTAACAAGTATGACATACCTGGATTCCAAAAGCTATTAAAAAAGGAATCTGTGAAAGACATTGTGGGAAAATGGTGCTTGATTTCAATGAGCACCGGGACTGTATTATTTAGAGTCAATCCTACATACACCCCTCTGGGTTGCTGTAAATAAATCACTTGTACAACAAATCTGCGGCGGAAGAAGTCCACAACCAATCTGTGTGAGTCTTGTAAAAAAAACTACAGTGCCCAGCTGTATTGATAAATTATTTAGCCTTTTCTTTTTTTAATTTAAGTTAAATATTCATGACTCATTTTTAACACTTAGACATGAATGTGCTCAGGGTTGCGGGCCGCAGACAGGGGAGAGAAGTCAGAAAGTATTGAGAGATGGACAGATGCTCTGTTGATCTTTTTTTTGGAAATTATAGCAGAATGAAACTATATCCTTTAAGTGCAAAATACCAGAAAGTACGACAGCACTGATGTTAACAGAGAAGGAAATCTAGCTATGTGTCATTTCACACCCAAATGGCAAAAATCTGTTTTCAAACAATGAACATCTGATATTTCTGCTACACATTTAAATGGGTTTTGTGAACTTTCATATTAAAACAATGGCGTGATGATGCGGACATTACAGACTTCATTTCTTTCTGATCTAAACTCGCCGATGCAGCGTAAGAAAATTACTTATGCGTTTTCTTTTTTGTAACTCCACAGCATCAGAGAATAATTGTTTTCATATGACCACAGATGCAATATTCATGATACTCATTTTTAACATGAAAGATCTGTTAATGGAGGCATAGTATTTGATGTTGTATTTCTACTAATTGAATTAAATCTAGTCAAAGAGCAGAAATATTTGTCTTAAAGGCTTTCGGACCCCCGAGCTGTGATTATGAATGCATCCAGTTAAATGAAAAGAATATATCTTGATTCATTAATTATTTAAGAGAAGGGGGGAAAAATACTATGAGTACTCATTAATTTAAGAGAAATAATGTCTCGTTGTTACGCAGGGCGGCATAGCAACAACTCTGCGCTGTTAGAAGTGATGGATCTGTGTCCCATAAATCCACCATGCGGGGTAATGGAAACTGTGCAACCTGTTTAAATAGGAAGTTTCTTTGCTAAAGAGATGGTGTGGGCTGAACAGATGGCCAAACCTGTGCCTTTCACTACTGTTTCTATTGAGCAATTAAAAGTTTCTGGCTGTTTTTCTCGCTTCCCCCCAAAGTACAGATTGCAAACATGACAAGAGGTCAAATATCTGCAAGGGAAAAAGGAGTGGAACAACTGTTCCACCAAGCTGCTTTGGCCACAGCTGGTGTACACGCGGACGAGTATTCACCTGAACGAGGACTGGTAATCACCCCACACCGAAGTGAATAATTAGTGTAATAATTACCAGGCTTAAAATGAATCTGCGAGCTGCCCTCTCTCACAATGCCATCAAGAATAACAGGTGTTGAAAGTGCCTTGAAGGGACAGAGATTAAAGATTATTTCGTTATCCTGGGTCTCCTTCAGGCACAACTGTCTTGCGTTTTATCCTGTCATCCACAGCGAGGGTCGTGTGGGGGCTCATTTTCCTCTGGCTTGGCAGTTTTGGGAGCTAGGCATTTGACAGAGAGTGAATGTTGTTTAATCTGGGAGTGTGAGCCGTCCTTGAGCTTCCTGGACACTCCATGTCCACATAACCTCCAGCTACATGGAGTGAGGTTGTACTAATGGTTATTATTAGCTGCCACACTGCCTGTTCCTTGTAATACAAATCAGAGACATACTGAAAGAACATTTTTTTGGTGTCAATGTGACAAAATTCATGTTGACTACACCATGTTCCATCAACAAAATAACAACATGATGACCGTAAAAAAAAACATTCAGATTTCTTATTAAAATAGTGGACACCTCTCTGATTTCTGTTGCAGCCTAGTGGCTGTATGTACTCTCTGTTTTGACTTAAGCAATGAAGCAAGTGAGCCTAAGGGTGTTTGTTCTTGTAAGAATTACTTAAAGACTTGTCAAGATGCCACAACTCGTGCTTGGGTTCCCAGGCTCTTTCTGTGTTGGTTATTCAGACTTCCTGTGTGTTTTTGAAATTGCTACAGCAGGTGTAACACGTCTTAGACACAGCGAATTAAATATTTGTTTCTAATACTTCACACAGTGTATTTTGGGTCCTAATGACAGTAAAACTGGAATAGTCCCAGTAGTATTACAGGGAAGAGGCTATAAACGGTCATTATATTTTTAGCATCGCTAAAATATTGCAGTGAGGAACCATATTGTCACAGTGTTCTTGTGGCACACAAAGGGATCCGGCAGCATAAATAGCTGTTTGTGTGGGATTCCTCGATGATTCTATTCAGCAGTGACTAGAATATGTGAACGTCTATGCAAAATCAAGATGAATGTGCGGTTGAAACAGACATTGGTTGATTATAGTATCAATATGACATCCTACACTTTATCTTTTAGCGCGCCCTGTTGTCTTATAATGTTATATCATTAGTTTCCCTGACAATGATTTAGCATTCAGCCATCTACCCCATTGACCTGTGCTGTGTTTAAATGTAACCTTCTTTTAGCCCGAGCCATCGTTTGTCACTTCCGAGCTGTCAGATACACACAAATTGGCCGCAACCCGCCACGGCCGGTGACAGCGGGACACAGAGGGACCGCAAAACAGAGGCAGGGCAATCAGCTGCATCTATTACATTTACATGGTCTGGGAAGGTTAGCAAGTTGTTCCTGAAAGATTACCACCTCTAATTTCTTTGGGGAGGATGGGACCTTGGTTCTGCTGCCAAGCCTGCTTTTCAGGTCAGGGCTCCCTGAATGTTAACTAAGACCCAGGAGCAGGTCAGCAGGCAGGCCAAGGGACCAGAGGAAAGCCTGCGCCCTACTCTTACACTGGCGGCCAGCAAGTCGTGCAGAAAGTTGCCATCCATCTTTGGCACGATCCTAATGATCCATTCTGGTTGAGGTCCGCGGTTGGGAAAGGCTATCGAGGTAGTTCTCCAGTGGCGCCTCCCTGCTGTTAAGCGCAATGCCAATTCTGAAATCTCTGCCAGTAAAAAGACAGACTCTCTTACCAAAAAAATAAATAAATAAATAAATAAAAATCTCGAGTATTTCTTCAGTAGGAGGCAGAACTGTTTGATGTCCTCACAACTGCTCGTCACCCCCCTTTGGTTGTCTTCTTTAAGCTACGCTGCGAGAAATTTTCATGCGGTGCCACAAAGGCGTCTTCTGCTCTCAGTTTTTTTTTATTTTTTTCAACTTTTACTTTGATCTACATTATTAAACCATTTCAACTTCATCTCAAACTGTGATGAGCAGCACAACTATGTTTCCGCAACTGCTATGTTCCTACATCATGTTTTCAAATGCCGCTCAGCATCGTTACTCTACGTCTGACAACCAAACCATGTAAAACACATAAGAAGATCATGTTCTATCAAAGACACGCATGAGTGTGAATGCAAACTAAATAATTAAGTGGTGAAAGGTGGTGCAATTTTAAATTATGCTAAATTGAGTTTAATCAGAATAAGCTCCAACTAGCTGCATTTAACATCTGCAGTGAACTAAAAATTCATTTTAAAGGCTACTGAATTTTCATAAATACTCACATAGTTGACTGTATGTGTCTCAGTTCATACACCTGTAAAGACAAAAACAGACCTGATGTAATAGAAATCCATACTGTATGCTCACATACACATCATAGTCAACATACATGTTTGCTCGCTACTGTGAATTTTAGATGATCGATGAGAAAAACATTATTTTTCTGACCACATGTTCTTAAAACCGGTCATATTCTTCAGCAATGTGCCCCGTGTCAATTTATCTAATTCGGTTTACAATGAAATGGCCAATTAAAAATAACTTCATTACTTTGTTAATAAAGCAGAGGACTGACTCGAGGGAACATTTCATCGGAAGTTAATTATGCAGCCTGCTATTCTCAAATGCTCCTCAGCAAACGTACAGTGAGACTATAAAGCTGTTTTGCGCTCTGGTTCCGTTTCGTATTTGCATAACAGAAAGCGCGCCATGTGTTTTGCCTCTCCCGCCACATGCAAAGGCTCAGCTTGTTTAGAAAACGCTGGTGTTATTTGTATCTGCGGAGAGAGCGGTGCATCATACCTCACTGGATTCAGCTCCTGTGACATAAGGTAGCAATCCCTCATGTTTGATTTTCAAAACATGAGTATAATCATATATTTATGCTGTTGACTTGGATTCCACAAGTACACAGACGCAATGCACTGAAGAATTAATGTCCACTAAGTAGAGGAGTGTCTTCAAATGTTTAAATGGTCCATACGTAAAGAAAATAAAAATGGATATGCTATGGTTCATCTGAATTTCTACACTCTGTGAACTGAACACAATGTCTGAACGCTTTCACCCATCTTCATTGAGTTGTGATGTAAAGCTCTCTATTTTCATGCCTTTCTGAGGTAAATGATGCTTGAACAGCAGGAAGATCGCTCATTGTTAACCATATGGTTTTGTGCAAAAGGTCACCAGTGTGTCTGAGGGTTAATATCAAAAGCCCAAACAGAGACAAGAGGGACCCATGCATATTAATGACAGTATATATTCCCTTGTGCAAAGAAGATCGGGTAGATGGCATCTGTATTTTTCTTCTTCAGACAACTTTGAACACACAGTGTTTTCAGCACTTTGTCTGTTGTAATTACCTGACTAACATGATGACATTTTTAAATCAACTATCATGTCCCACATTAGAAGCTCTGCACTCACTCATGATGTTTAAACATCACAAAGGTTTGCAATGAAAAGTGCACGATTCTTCCCCACTTTCCTTTGTCGACACTTCTCTTTACATTGACAGTGAGTGGGATCAGCCTCCCCTCAGCTATAATAAGAAATATTAGCTTTTTACAGTTAAATTAAAACATATCGACGCTCAAGGCCATTCAAACACTGTGTAGAAGCCTGAAGGTAGAGTGTAGTTTCCCCGCAAATCTGCGATATGCAACCAAAACAACTATCGCTTTATGTGAGAATTAGCAAACAGTTATCATTTCCATGACATAAAAAGAGTCCGTGCCAACATGCGCTGAAATAATAAAATATTGAAACGTCTATGAAACATAAATGTGAATTCTTGCTACATCTGTCTCTTGCTAATTGAGTTGCTACCAAGAATGTTAGTACTCTGGAGAATAATTTGTCAGTGCAAAACATCGAATGGACCAATTTATTGGTTGCTGCAGGCTGTAGAGTTCCAACAGTCTTTGATCAACCTTTTTAGGTCAGTATCTCTCGAAATACAGAGAGGAGAATTACACAGCAGAGAAAATATTTCATCTTTTTAAAAGACAAGGAAAAGTATTCTTGTAGTTACAGTGTTTGGCTGTAATGGTGAATAAATTCTTAAGAGGGCTTGAAGCCAGAGAGGAGAAAATAGAAGCTTTTGTGCACAATATTTATTGTTTTGTGTGGATGGTAACTTAAACATTTATTGTTTTAAAAAAAAAAAAAAAAGAAAGAAAGAAAAGTGACAGAAAGAGTAATTATAAGTTTTGGTTTTTCTCATCACTCACTGGATGGAAGATGAATGCACTGACAGTTACCGGTGGGCTTTTCTCAGACATTAAATTAAAAGTGTGCTTCAAAGGGTTCCGTGTTGGCAGAGGGGTTGATCACGCTTGGATTGTGAAAGATTCTTGGCATTTTGACAATGGATGAACTAAAACTTGTTTGATATTTCAGTCAAGTGTCAAAATCCTGTTTTGCCTAAATACTATTAGAACTCTTCACTGAGTTGGTAGTAGAAGAAGAAGTGTGCTGGTGTTTCAGACAAGTGTCCTCAGTGAACTTGACTTCATGGCGAATTCACTCAGATTGATTCAACTGGGTTTAATTTTAATAGGAGGTGACAATAAAAGCTGTTTGTCATAAGACTACTATCCCAGATTTAGTCGATGTTTTCACAAACGAGTTGCTTTATCAACCGCTCTTTGGACATGAAAAGGACGAGGCCATTGTACATGTTAGTGGCCCTACAAGGCAAACAGAGTTAACTGTTTGGATACTGAGAAATCACAGCACGACACCTCCAGTGGTCTCAGAGGAAGTAACAGGTTCCTACAGCTTTGAATAACTTAATTAATTAGGGTATCAGATAGCAGTTAATGGAGCATTGCTCAAAAAAGTATACATCTACATATAGATGTCATTCTATGTATTCTATGTGGCCTATTGGAAAATACCCCAAAAAGAATCGATCTGCCTTCTAGCTTCTGACATAAATTGCTCATTTATATCTATTTTTTAAATTCCTTTCCTCTTACTACTCAAGAAACTATCCGTTTCTGCCGGACAACCTTTGCTCTGGTTGCGTACAAAGACTACTCTTTCTAAAGACCAGGCACCCTGGGATGTGTTACCATAGAAACAAACAACAAATCCTTTAGTGGCTTCTTTAAAACGTTACCCTCACTGTAACACTTCACAACAACAGGTGACAGCTGTCTAATTATATCTAGGTCAATCATTGCAAATAATTCTCCTAAAAATATAACGGCATAAAAATATAAGGCAACATATTGTATTGTAATAACTCTGGAGCACAGCTGGCCTTTTTCTTATTAGGCACATTTAGTTAAGAAAATGGCCAAGAGTCTATATGCTGATCACCGCCTTATCCCATTCATTATACCTATGAATGGTCCCTTGGTCACATGGCTGGAAATTACAGTAATGCTGGCAGGAAAAGGAAAAGAATTGAGCGGTGCATTTAAAAATGCTGAATTGCATTAATTAATTTGGAAATCGTAGACTTAGTTAGCAGAGGTCTCCTGTGTCCCTTCAAAAACGCTGTCTCAACACCACGCCAATGCTTTGTCGGTCCATGCCCACACGAATCTAAATGTGACTTTGTTCTACTCGCAGTCGAATTAATGTAAAGATCCAATTAAACCCGCAACAGAGGATCCGGGTTGAGTACAAATCATCAAACACTATCGGCCTCAATTTCGCAACAAAACACATATCTCAATCCCGATGAGAGCCCCATCGCAAAGCAAATAGCACTACTAATAATATTTTGTTTGTAACAAAATCAGACCTCTATTAAATGACTCAAGGGATGATCAAACAGGAAGAAAAAAAAAAGTCAGAAATATCACTTTAATTCCGACATAATACACTAAAACATGTTTGCTTGGAATATATCCACAGTAAGGAACAGTGAGGTCATGTTATTCACTTTTATTCAAAACATTTCGACAAGGCCCTCCAGATAAGAGATCAGGTTGTACAGCGCGCTACATCATTAGCTCACACATGTACGGCGTCTCGGAGGACCTTTAATTTGAGTAGGAAAAGTCTGTTCTTTCGCTATGAGGTTAAAGAGTGGGTGACAAGTGAAGAAAATCACAGCGGAATGCATTAATTAGGTAGACCTAAAAGCATATTTATCAAAGGCTAAGCCATATGGGAATTATCTTAGAAAGGATCTAATAAAGACAGGACAGGTTAATAGAATAAAAGGCCTTGAACAGAATGTGTGCTTATACATAAAATATCAAGCGGATCTCACATGTAAACGAATCATTAGGATGTACGGATTAAATGTTATGGCAAGCAGATTGTTAACAACTGAAATGACCTTTATGTGGTTTGACAGTGACAATTGGCTCCTTATGTTCGCTCTGATTAAAATGTCAAAGCCTCTGACTTAATTCATCTCGGTGAGATTCCGCACGAAATGGTCCAATATTTGCACAGAGCAGAAAAAAAAAGACTGATTACATGAACTGGAATATGCTGATATCAAAAATAAATATTTAATGAACTGCCTTAATCAGAAAACAGTGCATTAGTCCGCAGAGGAAATAAACAGCCCCGGTGATTCTGGCTGAATCATCTAAACGGTGTCAATCACCAGTGAATAAGGAGGGGCCCCCCTGTTCCCGGGCAGCGATGACTGATGGCCCTTCAGTGGCGATCGGGACAGACGGGGCTGATTGAGAGAGCTTATCTTTATGGTGGAGCCATGGAATTGTTAACAGGATGTGATGGCTTGCGTCCGCCGAGTTGAGCTGGGAAATAAAGCTGCTGGGCTCGGGCTTCCTCGCCATCATTCACAGAGGTAATGATCTCTGTCTGGCTCAGGAGTAAGTAATAGTCTGCCCACAGGTTAGTAAGGGCATAACACGGCGCCGCTGACAAAGTTGAACTTGGACAGATGAGCACAGGTCAGGATGCTGCTACATTTGTAATAAATTTAATAGGCAATTTCATAAAGATTAGAATGTGCTGTAAAACCTAAGGTTCATGAAGTTTAAGTTTAAGAGATGAACAGCCCCATATTCCTGCCCATAGACATTTTTAGATTTTTTTTCTTATGTTCCAGGAATAATGTACAGCAGCTGCAATGTAACCGCAAAACTATAACTGCAGCTCTTAAAGTGTCCTATATGTCTTTATACTGGGACATTTTTTTTTGAGAACACACACAAAAGTTTGCACGATATTTTTTTTTATAAATGATGGTGGAAATTATGTTTTTCTTTAGATCCAAATGAAGGTAAGAGAGGTGGAGAGGAAGCAGTCAAAGATCTAGCTCCACTCAATTATCTTCAGCAAGATAATTAATCAATTCAGTATGCACATCCAAGTCTCAGAGGCGTCTTTGAGATAATTGTTCTCATTGACTTGAATAATTATTTGTTTGCTGATTTAATTATTATCGCATTTGGAAAACAAATGAACGTGTGCTGGTGCATACTCCAGAATTTATTTATTTTTTTCTTTTGATGTTGGTAGGTGATTTTTTTAAATTTATTTTAAATGTGCTGTAGATGTGAGTATCAGACTTACTGACACTGATGTTATGATAACTCCTCTTGCACAAACATCTCTTGAGAAATTAACTGCAACCAAATTCAGAATTTATGTCATTATGTGTTTTTTTCAGAACCCTAACCCCGGATGTAGAGAAGGTCAATAAAACATGAATTGTTTCTGCCTTGTGGCATCAATACAAACGACACTGAATCAAAGGCTAATATTTCTCAGATAGGAGGTCAGCTCTGGGTTACAGACACAATGTCCTCATATTATGACTGGCGTGCTGAAAACAATTGTGGGAGTCCTCAGTTCACACCATTACAAGTTCGAGCGAGACCTTGCGGCTACTGCAGCAAATAGCACAAATTATGAGGGCCGTTTTAATGGCACTCACTACTATTTATCATGCTGTTTTAAATGTTTTGCTCATTTGTTTCCATTAAATATTTCATCTTCCCTTAAATATTCATTTAACTTCCTCTTTAAATTTTTTACCAGTCTCTTTGCAGTTGCCATCTTCTTGCCTCCCTTTTAGGCTTTGCAATCATAAATAATTATTCATCTACACCCAAAAAGAGATTGCATAAAACATGCACATGAATCCTTTTTGTCTTTTCTCATTAGTGATATACTTCGAGTAGCCTAAATACTTCCCGCTACCCCACTTATGGAAATTGGTTGGAGAACCTTCCTAATGATTCTGCTTCGCAAATAGGATACAGATTCCATTTCTGATCCTGGCGCTCATCCCTCCTTTCATCATGAAAGGAGGGGTCTGCTCCAGATCTGGAGTTCTTGTAATACTTTTAAAAGGAGGAATCATCCTGGTACATGCGGAATCAAGACAATGCTGCTTTGACTTTTAATGTTTAAATCAACTGCTGGGCTTCAGTGTATGTGCAACAATAGCTGTTTGTAGCTGGCGCTTAAGGAAAGAGGTGTACAGTAATTAACAACACAACATTACAATTATTCTCTTTCACTAAGGCTGCTTCTTGCTTGACAAGATTTCATTCTAACAGCAATTGTGACAGAAATCTTCCTTAGCATCATTTGGATTTTCACGTGTATTTGCTGGAAAAACTTTAAAAGCGAGGCAAAGGAAAATAGAATTGCATCAACCACTATAAATGAAGGGAATATTTTAGCTGTTAAAACCGTGTTTTAACAGACTGTATGTTAACGGTAAAACCTGACTCAATAGATTTTTTTTCTTGACTAAACTGCCAACATTTGTCTTAATTTGTTAGATAATTTCCACTCCACTCATTAGCATACAGGACCATGTTGGAAGGTGGAAGGGAAGCATAAACTCTCAATTTGCCTGGATTATCCTTTTGTGATGAGGCCTAATGATCCAGCAGAGTAAATAGCAATGTGTTAATTAGAAATTACACTGAATGATCCGCTGCACACAGAGGAAGCATTAACCAGGCTGCGTCATTATATTAAATCTATAGCAGGCTCTCCTTTTCTTTTGAAGGTCTGAAAATAAAATGAGACTCACAGCCACCTGTAAAACGCATTTGTTGCATCTTCTATACTCCAAAAATTCCAGGTTGCCAAAAATAATTACTGATTAAACCAAATCTGAGTGATGACAACAACCATATTATTTTAAGAATTGCTCTATTTAAAAAAGATTATACTTCTTTAAGTGCAAGACACATCAGCGTGTCCCTGCGAAATTCAGATAAATCTGTAAATGTAAGTCTTGTAATTGGCAGGTGCCGGATTTTTACTCACCACATCTTAGACTTTGGTCCAATTTGCTTTACAAGGGGGATTAAGGAGGCCGCTTTTTTCTTTTCTTTCTTTTTTTTTTTTTAATCAACAAATGCATCCCCAGACTGCAGTGTTTAAGTGAGCATCTGGCTCCACCTAGTGGTGAATGTTGGTTACTGGAGATAAAGATAAACACTCTCGAAGTGGTCGTGAAACAGTTTCAAAATCAGATTCAAATTGCATTCGTGGAAATAAGTTAATATTACATGTCATGAAACAATTAAAAATGTAATGATGTCATCTTAAATATTATAAAGATATCTTTATACGTTTAACCATCAAAGAACAATAATTTAGTTAGATAAAGATAGTTAATTATAGATTCCTAACTGTACTGGCATTTCTATTAGCCCTCGTCTGACTCTTGCGCTATGCAGCATGTTCTGTTTAGTTCTACTAGTCTTATTTCAAACAGGTGTTTTTCATGAAAGGGAAATCTTTTGGATGGAAGATGCAAGTAGCAATTCGAGAGAAAACACTGGGCGACTAAAACGCAGTAAATTTTACTTTAAATATTATGAAAATACTAGCAACAAAAATTAAAACATATTTTTATATAACAAAAAGTTTTATCACCTGTAAAGTAATACTTTCTAGTTGTAACAGCCGTGAATTAGAAGTGAAAAAGAAACACAAAATAAAAACATTTAACTGTACTAAGTACAATACTTGGGTGAATAGTTACTTAACAGACTACTACTGATACTACAACTTAACTACAAAGGATATTATATTTCTAATACAGATCCATCCATCATCTATACACCGCTCAATCCTGACTAGGGTCGTGGGGAGCTGGAGCCTATCCCAGCTGACGACACCCTGGACAGGTCACCAGTCTATCACAGGGCTACACTTAGAGACAGACAACCAAACACACTCACATTCACACCTACGGACAATTTAGAATCATCAATTAACCTCAACATGTTTTGAGACTGTGGGAGGAAGCCGGAGAACCCGGAGAGAACCCACGCTGCACGGGGAGAACAAGCAAACTCCACGTAGAAAAGATCCTGGGTGTCCTCACTGGGATGCGAACTGGCGACCTTCTTGCTGCGAGGCAACGATGCTAACCAACTGCGCCACCTTGCAGCCTCTGATCTGTTCACTAAACTCAAACACATTTTTCTCTTTTTTTTTTTTTTTAACCTCATTAAAGTACAAAATATGAAAACAGCTAGCCATGGAGCAATAAAACACATTTTACTGTTTTATTGTAAGTTGTTGTAGTTAGTAAGTTATCATTAGGCTCCTGACAGAATTTTGGTGGGTTTGTTTGTCAGCAAAATAGACAAAATATTTGGTCAAACACAAGTTATTTATTTAAATGACTGTGCTACAGGACTTTCTCATTTTACCTGCATCTCTCCTTCTGTACTCCTCAAAGATTGGTCATCCAAAATATTATTAAATAAACTAAAATATTAAAGACATGTCTTTGCAGTGTTTACATGTGATTCTGTCTTTGTGAATCTCCACAAACAGACTAATTCCACCGCACACAGTTTGAGAATCACAGATCTCGCTTGCCTCCACTCTCTGTAATAATAGTGGGGAACATTTTCATCATTTTGAACATAATCCTTTTGCACATTTTAAAGTCTACATAGTGGGAGACTTTGGTACAATCCGAGGCAAGATAAAAATACTCATTCCTGCACAATATGTACAACCTAAATAATGTATTTATTACTGTTATACCAGCTTTGATTTGACACTGTCGCTTTGTGTTAGACTGCAACTCTTGCATCTTATTTGTCTAAGATAAGATAAGATAAGATATGCCTTTATTAATCTCACGGTGGAGAAATTCACATCGTTGACAGCAGCTTTCAACAGACGTACACAGATACGACACAGGAAAAAACAAAAAATAAAAAATGTACATATAAATATCAATATCTACTTACAACTACTGTGTATTTGACTACAAATGCTTGATTTTTAAATCCTTGATCCTACTTCTTTTTTTTTAGGTATGTAGCAAGTTTTACAAGTAAGTTGACGACTGTTTTCCACAATATTTTTAAGTAAGCATATCTGCACTTTTATCCACATGCTGAATTAATTTTTATTTAGATTTTAAGGTATACTAATATACTATTGTCCTCATCTCTTGTCTGTGTTTGGTGTCAGTTAATTTTAATGACTCTACACATGTGTGTGCACTTTATCCACCTTTCCTGTATTGTATGCAGTCAATTTAACTTTGCTAATATATTTTATTGTGTTTTTACATTTTCCTGTAAGGACTTTGAATAACCTTATCATTCAAGATGCTAAACAAATAAACTTGTGTTTACTGTTTTGTACCAAAACTACAATTTAAAACCCTTCTTGGTGACAAAAGAGATTGTTATTGCGAACATTGGATAAGCGTACAAACAACGTGGGCTAGCTTAAAGTAGCGTCTCACACTCATTTAACTTGAAAATGGTGCAATTATCAGGTTAAAATACGAGGTCCGCTGTGCTGGACAAAACCCCTAATGTGTCGAGATTCTAATAACGCATCTAACTTGAGATACATGCAGAAAGTTCAGATACAAACCTGCAGGAAACACGAGTGACGACTCCACAGAGATCCGTGCACCGCTAGGTGGCCGAGTAACAACACAATGTTCGCTCGCGCTGTTAGCAAACAGCTAACTCTGCCGTTGCTGAGATTGATGCCGGAAAACTCGGCAGTTTAAACAAGCGGGAGGGTGGCTTTATACGTAACATGGACCCACGGAATCACGTTGTTTCTTAGTTGACAGTTGGCTTTATTTAATTTGTAACAGTCGGCGTTAGGTGGACAACATAGCTTACCTTTTGCTTTGGCTGCTGGCTACGGTAGCTAACTGTAGCCCCGGAGCTAGCGTGACTAACGTCTGTTACGTCCGCAGGAGAGCATTCTGACTTGGGAGGAAGGAAGGAAGGAAGCTGATAAGTAGGACCGCTGCTCATGCAAAGCTAGCACACTTTTGGACTCCCGACTTCACACTGTGACGCATTTAGGAAAGGTGACTATCTGTGCAGCCTGTGTGACATTTGACACTATTTGGTTAATAAGATATGCTGTTAGTTGCCATAGCTAGCTGTTAGCAACACGTCTCTTGTGTAGCTGTGCGGCGGACGTCAGCTAGCCAGCTAGCCAAAAAACTTCTAAAGAAGTTGTGTAAGTCAGACTTAGCGGTTTGATTAATTCGGGCGACTAGTTGCGCGGTGTTTTTTTTAAACTCTTTTTGTCTGTCGGACTCTTAAACTCTGACCCGCTCTGGCAGCAGGGCGACCAGAGAAACTCATGGATGTGATCGAGAGTGAAGCGGTGCTGAAGGGTGTTAGTGATATGAATTTAAACAATAGCAGCCAAGAGTTTGTCACACCCAGGAGGACTCACGAGGATTTGGGCAACAGGCAGACTTCCAGCCCCTCATCTTCCGGAGTATCGGGAGAAGGCGATGAAGAGGAATTAAGCGAATTGCAGAATAGCACAGCATCTACAGTTGAGACGGGAGAAGAGGCATATCAAGACAGTATGACCAAGTCCAGAGGTACGCCACAGGAAAGGACAACTCCAGACAATGTGCCGGGGGAGAGAGTCTCCACTCCGGTCGGCCTTCCTCAGCCTCGCTCACCATCTGGACTCATAGGAAGGTCTGTATACATTCTGGTGTTTGCTCTGCAGGTTGGCAACCTAAAAAAAAAAAAAAAAACATTAGCAAGGTTCAGGTTTCATCGCTCCTTTGCAGGAATGTTGTTCTCCCAGCATGCCGTCCACCTGAGCCGGATGACAAGTCTAATGTTTTTCAGTCCACTGCATTTAAAAGTCGTTTGACAGGCCAGCGATCCCCTGTTATTTCATTCTATTTATGTGTTCAGCCTCTTACGTGAAGACCTTCTCTTACTGTGGGGCGCAGATCCCAGAAAGAAATATAATTACAGGAACCAATGCTTGCTTTTAGGCATACAACCTGTTTTCAGGAGGCATCCAGATATTTTTCCAAATCAGTGCTTAACCTGCAAACAGGCACTAATAAAAGGTGCGGACGTGTCCTTTCCAAACCTTTTGCCATTCTCCTGGCTGGGGTAGTAAGTAAAGCTGCATGCTAGATTAAAGGTATACCACATTATAATGCAATCCAGTACAACAGGGTCGTAGATTTGGACATGAAAACTTCCCACATTGTTTCATGAACATTTCTCTTGCACGCTGTAAACAAAAACAACAACAGCAGAGCTACATCACATACGCAGCCGCTCATTACAAGTTTGTGCACATCACTGAAGTTGCAAAACTGTTACAAATCAGCATTTTAATTACTTTTGGAAATGTCTGCCATGTTGTTGTTTATTTGTGTGAAAGGATAAGATGGATGTTTAATCCTCATGTCGAATAACTAGCTGTTTTATTGACAGAAGTGTTATCAGTTTACACTTAAAGAGAACTTCCCTAAAAGCAAAATAGGCCACTCACTCTCTGACATACTCATTTATGTATAATAGAATGTCATACACAGGACCATCCTTGGCAAACTTTCTCTCAAACTCTTGTAACATGTATAACCAGATTGCACTGTACTACATTCAGATATACGGTACTAATTAATCCTAACATCTTTTGTAATGAAAACAAAAAGACAGCAAAGAAGAGCTGCAGACGAAGAAAAGAATCATATCACAGAATAATGATCCCAGCAGTATGGATACAATCATGGTCAAGACACCTGAATTCTTTTAGCTCAGACAGACATCCTTTCAAACATTTAACTTGGTCTTGACATTTCTTTAAATTAGCATGGAATGTACGTTGTATATGTGAAGTGCCTTGAGGGAAGCCTCAGCCAAGAGGTGTCACCGTAGTCAAACCATCCATCATTGATCTGCATCTTAATTTAGCTCTTCATTATTGGTGTAGTTGTTAAGCTGTCATCCATCCTTTGTCTTCCTACTGTAGCTAATTCCATTTACATGCAGCCAGTGCACTTTTATTTGCAATGGTTCCTTTAAAAAAAACACATTCCTGTAGCCATTGGATTTCACATGTAATGTGGGGATTAGAGCTGTGTATAAGCAGACAGCTACACTTATACCTTATGAAATGTTGAGCACTAAATGCCCAGCATGTTTTTATGTCTGGAGCACGAATAGAGTCGCGTACATGATTAGTGCATCAAAGCCAGCTCTGTACAGCAAAGATACTGATACCATGGTCAGCATTAGCAAGTAGTCTTATGGTTTACAAACTAAGCTTGTAAGCTTTTCAAGAAGCCAGTGATCTGATTATGTGGCCAGTTGCGAGCTGAAACTCTTGAGGAGATTCTCAAACATGAGACTGTGTGTCACATAATGATTAGCGGCGCAATGCACAGCATCTGTCCCTCGCTGCCTGGTGTAACAAAGGTATCCTGGTTGTTTTCTTCTCATATGAACCTAAAGTTTGGTTTGTTGGAGAAACAAAACGCTATAAGGATATGTTAGCTTTTTGGATTGCTGTGATGGTTAAGAGCCACATACGTAAACAGGGCTTTTCCCATTTTGCTGAGATTAGGTACAGCACATGAAAACGTGTTTCTGCCTTTTATAGTAAATAGTGCAAGTTTAAGGTCTATCCAAAAAGCCAGGGGGACATAGGAAATGCTGCTTTTGAGTTGCAAAAAATGCTTGAATGCAAAAGTGACATGAAGTTGGGCTTCTCTCATATCACAGGCATTGTGACTAAAATCTTAAGCAGTGCAAACGGAGGAAAAGGTTTAATTTGTATTTTGGAGGGATAGTGAAAAACAACAAACACAACCAAACTAAAAAGACAATTTATAGGAATAACTGGACGGATAACATAAGAATCCTGTTAAAGTACTGAATGTGTTATTAATAGTTAGTTATAGATTTTTTTTCTGTTTATATATTACAAACCAGCACAAACATATAGTCAGATTTCAGAAGTTGTTGATCTAGCTTTTATAGAAGTTGAGGAAATGTATTATATACCTTACACATCAGTAGAGCAGATATAAATGAAATTTCATTCATGCTGGGGCAATAAATCCTTTAAAATCTAAATCAAAGTGTTTATGACAGTTTCCACACTTATTTGCTAAGTGTATAATCACATGCTTTTGTTCAACTAAGTTTATGTGCTTATTCTTCACTAACGCTGTGAAGCTTTCAGTTGTTTTGGTATTAACCGCAGAACAAAAATTGTATTTGACTCTTAGCAAATCAGTAGAACTTTAACATTTCCCCCGTAATCCTTTCAGGATTGTACAAGTCACCACTGAAAGATGACCAATTATGTCTTTGGATTTGACACATAATCTTTGCTTGCCCTGCTCCTGATCCTAATAGATCTGTAGCTCAAGAATACCTTTTAGCAATTAGAGGCCATTAAGCATGAAAGATTGCATAACTTTTTTTGTGTTTTCTTTCTCAGCCTTGAGCGTCAAGAGTCAGTCGCCACAACAGAGGCCCGCTTAAGAATGGAAGGAGTTGAACTTAAGGAAGAGTGGCAGGATGAGGACTTTCCAAGGTATTGTGTCCATCACGCATGCATCAGACTTCATAGCTTTCCATCACATGTTCTGAAAGTTACATGAACCGTAGACGTACTGTAGCCAAGATTACCTTCTGCTTGAATATTAGGCCCCTCCCAGAAGAAGAGGAGCTTGAAGATGACCTTTTCGCAGGAACCTCTGAGGAGGGAGACGCTGGTAATGACAACACAGGACTACACTAATACACTGCTGCAGTGACCGAGGAGACTATTAAAGAACATGTTCACATTTTTTCTCAAGTTAATCTTAAATGTCACACTTCATATATGAATGTTAAGAGAATTATCGGTTGCTGTAATGATCACTGTTCATTCTTGTTTGCGCAAAGTTCAGCTAAAAGTCATATGAAGCCACAGCAGTGTGAGACACCCATGGAAAATGATATTTTCTAAGGTGGTCTTTTGAGTTTGAAATCCTCTCAGGCAGTGTTTTCTTTACAGAGCTGCAGTGGAATGATATTAAGATAAGGGGGTAATGTTGAATCTTGTCAAACTAAGACTGTAACATTAAAGATCCCACTTGATCTGTGTGACTCAGACTTTTAAAGTTTCAGAATAAATGTGGCTGAACTTTAGATAACACTTTTGCTCAAACCAACTCTCTGAAATCGTGTCCACAATCCTTTAAATTTAAGGATGAGTATCAAAACCTGGTATGAAACATGTCTTGGGGATAAATTACCAGAGATTAACAAGCTCTAACATTATGGGTTGTGCTGTCGGTACTGGAAAAATTAAGAAAATAGACGATTTATTATTGCTACATAAACATTACGTTGCATGGTTTATCTCACCAAGTCTGTTTGATATTCATCCATGAGGCATTTTTGCTTTTCTCAATCTGAAAGAGTTCTCTACCTCAAAGCCTGTGTGCAAAGGGCGAGGCCAGCTTTTTCTGTCAGACACACACACACACACACACACACACACACACACACACACACACACACACACACACACCCCGCTCTTAATGTCACTCAGAGAGAAGTTACCATTCACAAGTGTGGTTACACTCCAGTACAGTTGATGCTTACTATACTTATTGCCACAACTGCAACAAGTCTTTAGCTTTCAAGAACATCCAGTGAAAGTTTGTCTCATACAGGCAGTGAAATGTGTTTTTCCACTGATTAGCTTCTAGTTCATCTGTCATTGTAGCAAGTATATTATGTGTGCTAGTAGCCTAGAGCCCTCACACGGAGTTAACTAAATTATGCGAACATGGGTTAATGAGTAGCCATTATCCAGATGATTGTTTACATGTGGGTGTGTTTACAAATTCAATCTGAAATGGTCAGAGCATCATCTGAACGGTCAGTCAGAAATTTACAGCTTCAGAGCAGAGGGATTTAGTGACACTGTCTTGCTTTATCGTCACTCTTTCTCTTACTGAATGTTGGTATTAGCAGTGGTAGAAGAAGTACTTGGTTTTTTTTAACTATTTATCCTGCAGAGTAAAAATGTGTCAAGGAAAAAGTCCAGCATTAAATGTTTTAGTTAAAAATGAACAGTGAAAGAGAGGGAGTTTACCTTAGAGAGATTGTTAAAATGTGTTTCTTCAAAAAAGCAAAATTAAAAGAACCAATAAGAGAATTGTTAAAGTAGTGAATTGATAAGTGGTATCATTAAAATAAGATGTGCCACTTAACTCTTAATGATACCCACCCCTGCTGAAATTATAGTTGCTTTAGGAAAATAACTCTTCATTGTATGTGATTATTGCGTTATAACCGACTTTAAAAAATCTGAACCTATCCTTAAATTGTTCTCACAGTGTAACTGTATAACTACTAATGATTTGGCATCTACCCTAGGCTATGCAATGACCCACGGCAAGAAGGCCAAGAAAAAACTTGCAGCCCCAGACATCAGTCTTACACTTGACCGCAGTGAAGGTTCGCTTCTCTCTGATGAGCTGGATGAAAGCACAGAGCTGGACCTGGACGACATAGACACTCCCTCAGACAACAGCAATGAGTTTGAATGGGAAGGTAAGGGTTTTACATCACGTGAAGACAATGACAAGACCTTAGCTTTAGTACTTAGGTACTATCTGTCAACCTTGTTTGTTTCAGTTTTCCCTGATGATAATACAGAAGATTTAACAGTAACATTTGAATGATGAGGTGGAAGGTGCAAAGAAAACTTTCCAGCTTTACCCAGTTGATGTCCAAGGTGGATATTTATAAAAAGCTCTGTCCTTGGGTTTAATGGCCGGCTTGTTGAACAGGAGCTTTTATTTCCTGATTCTTAGCAATGGCATTTTCTTCCTTTGATTGAACAGGTTTGCTTAGGCAGCTGACTGCCTGAAGTGTAGTTAAAATATGCTTTGTTGTTTTTGTGTTTCCAAACTGCTGCCTTCCTCTTTTTCACTTTGGAAGAATTGTTTCCATGCTCTGCCTGGAAACAGGCTGCAGGCCAGCAACAGGTTTCTCTCTTCCTTGTGGTAAGGTCTCCTGGACAGCCTTCATTTTCTTTACTGCAAACCATGAGTCAATCAACCCTTGTTGTCCAGATCATGTCTTCAGTTCTTCAAACAAATCATGGGGTTTTTTTCGTGTTTCACACCCTTTCATTTGCACTTCATGTTTTTTGCTCGTGTCATTTTCCTTTCTGTCAAAATTTCCCTACGTTGGAAGAAACAATAGCAGCTTGTCACTTGTGGTTTAGTTGGCACTGTAATGCTGCAGTTCATTTTAACATTTGTGCCGGTGATTATTAGTCAGTCAATGTGTCACATTTTCAAGAACCACAAGAAATTGAACAACAAATTAAGACATTTTAGCATGATACGTATGAACCTAATGAATTTCGTGTTTAATTGAAAGCGTACATATTTGGCATTTTGCCACTTGAAAAATATTTCACATGATTTTTAATTTTTATGTGTTATACCATTTTATAAACAATGACTATATTATCATTTATTTTCAGTGTAGATCTCCATGTGGGGATACCATATCAGTATCATAAATTGGGTATATTTTGGAAATAGGCTGTTCACAGAAAACTCCTCATAACATGCGTTGTTGTGATTTTGTTGCACCACTTGGTTATTTTTGATTCTGCTTGCTGCATGCTTGATATACGTGATCATTTGGACACTTTGCTTGATGTCTGCATCATATACGAAAAAGACATTCTTCCCATAATGCAGCTAATCATCCTGCAAAACATCCACAGGAGTCCTCAGGTATTTTACAGCAGTGATGTGTTGCAAGTGTTTGATACGTTTATGTCTATTTATTATACTGTGACATGTGGATGCAGTACAATAAAATATCAGGAATTTTCCTCTTTGGAAAAAAGCAAAAGGGACACGTGGAATTGGACGTTTGATTGTCGGTGCTGATTTAGAGAAAAAGCATGCCATCAAGATTCAGAAGATTAAAGAAAAAACAAATCCAATGCATGTGTTTGAAAAGTTAACATGTTTAATGGAGCGATCTGACAATTTTATTACATTTGATCTAAATAGATCTGATTTGATCATATCCAAGGGTTACAGTGTTCAGTCTGTAGGTTTAAAGTACCTCTTCTCCTTCAGATGACCTCCCTAAGCCAAAAACCACAGAGCTGCTGCAAAAAGGTGTGGAGTCAGTGCAGGAGTTCTCAGCCTTGGAGGAGAGGGAGGAGGGTCGACGCTGGAGGGTGTTTCGTATTGGAGACCAGGAGCACAGAGTGGACATGAAGGCTATTGAACCTTACAAGAGGGTTATCAGTCATGGAGGTCAGTCATTTTATGTCTTTGTTGTTTTTTTATTTACAGGACCACAGGTCATATTACACAAGTGTCTGACATGGGTAGTATTTCCTAAAAAAGATGTTTTATTGTTGCAACATTCATTTTTGATGTTTTTATTGTCACTGCAGGCTACTACGGAGACGGTCTGAATGCCATAATTGTGTTTGCTGTGTGCTTTATGCCTGAGAGCAATCAACCAAATTACAGATACATCATGGACAATTTATTCAAGTGAGTGTTGATTTGAGTTTCTATGGGCCGTAGAGCACACACTTTACAGCCATCGCTAACGGGATCTTCCTGTCGCAGGTATGTCATCGGCACACTGGAGCTTTTGGTTGCTGAGAACTATATGATTGTGTATTTAAATGGGGCAACCTCTCGGAAAAAGATGCCGACTGTCGGCTGGCTCAGAAAGTGTTATCAGCAGATCGATAGGAGGTGAGTGGTCATGACTTGCAAGAAAGGCTTCCCCCATTCTGTGAGGCCAGTCTTAAAACTGTATCGTCACATGGATTGTGTAGTTAATCGACACCTCTTATTACTGTTTCTGTGCAGGTTACGGAAGAATTTGAAGTCCTTGATAATCGTGCACCCCTCCTGGTTTATTCGCACCCTGCTTGCGCTCACAAAACCTTTTATAAGGTAATGTTTAAGGTCATTAAAACAAAGAAGTGAATATATTTTTAGGTCATCTTTAGATTGTGACATTTCCTGTTTCTTTTTCACAGCTCCAAATTTAGTCAGAAAATCAAGTACGTGTACAGCTTGACAGACCTTGCTGAACTAGTTCCAATGGAGTACGTGTCCATACCGGATTGTATCAAACAGTAAGTATGGGAACACATCAGCACGGTTTGAAAACATGTAATATGGTGCATACAAGTTAAGCAACATAAAGTCAAAGCCATAACTGAATTGTGGTTCAGACCTTCTGATTGGATCTATACAAATAGGTGGTGGAAGAGTAAGCATTCAAGTATTACTGTAGGTGGCGCTACAGCGTTGTGCTCTTCCTGGGTGGTCAGTCTTCACAAGATATCATGGGTGTTTGATTTATTTAAAAATGTACACAATGCACTGTCTGCCAGTTGTTCTCAGGCAGGAGATGCTGCCTGCGTAATGCCCAGAAGCATTACTGTCATGCCTACATTGTGCATAATACAATGGAGAAGAGATCCGGGTGCAGAGTTCACATATCAAAATTCTTTTCCAAGTGTCATTGTACACAGTGTCAACATGTAATCGAGATTACTTTGATAAACTTCTATTGATCTATTCTTCATTTATAGTGTAAACCTTTGCTGATATGCTTCATCTATTGATCTTATGCTGGGGAACTGCTCGCGCTGTATTCTTCCTCGATGCGGCCCAACGTGCAGCAGACTTTGTCTTGTCATGTCAAAAGGCAGCACAAATAATCATCGTGACTCAGTGAAAATGTTTTGCTCTTTTGCATCTGTGGTTGCTGTTGGCTGTGTATTTTCCTTTCTTTAACCCCATTTCCCTGCCCCCCTTCTTAAGGTTTGACGACGAAAAAAATAGGAAAAGCCATAAAAGGTATACGCACTTTCACCCAGGGTCAGTCTCCGCATCCTTTGCATTTCATTTAACTAACAATGAAATGATCAGTTGGCTTACGGAAATGCACCAAGACACCTAATTCTCTCCTATATCTCTGTAGTTGGATGATTTTCTGTTACCTCCTGGCCCAAATCAGCAACGTGCCTCCTCAATGTACCACGTTTTCCTCTCAGCTGATAATGCATAAAGTAAATAGCTGGTTGATTCTCATAAATAGGTGCCTTGGTGACTGTTTAACCAACTTTATTTCTTTTCTGAGCCAATATGTGAAGTTCATCACAAAGCCAGTTCATGTTAAGTTTGTTCTCTAAGTAAAGTCAGCTATCTGTTCATGGTTTAAATGTTATTTTTGAAAGGATAACCTTAATGCACTGGGATGCTAGTTAACAAGTTCAAGTCAAAAACAAGTCAGAATAGTTTGGAAGAAGCTAAATGTGTTTTGATGTGGAGGTGGAAGCATCCAGTTGCACTTACCTGCATGTGTTTGGTTAAAGAAAAAAAAAAAGAGGTGCAGAATTTAAGGTGGTTGGCGTTTGGGAAGTCTGTTAATGTTTGTGCGACTGAATGGGGCGGAAGCACAGGGAAGTAGTTCGACTTAGTCACTGTGGTGTGTGGTTGCACTTAAACCATGTCCTCACATGGTTCTCCTCAGTAACCGGCTCTCACTGAACACCGCTTGTTCACGCTGTCCGCTCTTTGCATGACTCACTGCATACCCACTCCCTACTCATGTTTGGTAATTTACCCGAGACTTTTGTCAGCCTCGCTCATGCACACAGAAATAATCTGCTCATTTCTGATAAGTATTGAGTGTACACTTGCTGAGGTGATTAATTTGCTGATAAGGGATGTTGGAACATTGGAAAAGAATGATGATCGTGCCGTTTTAGAGAAACAGCGGATAAAACTATGCCACAATTAGCTGGACCAGGTCTTTTTTCTTGACATTATTAACAGAAGTACAGTCTGCTGTGGACAATGAAAGCACTTGGAGATAAGCAGGTTGTCTACATACTGAAGATATTTTAAGAGCCTACAGAAAAATGTTATTTTAGTTATTGTTTATTTTGTAATTTTTGAAATGGGTGTCAAATCCCCAAATTTCATACATTACATTTAAGAATTCCATCTGTGATTGTGTTCATGCACTGATCACACATCATGATTTGATTATACAAAAAAATTGCGTATCTGGGTAGCGTAGTGACCTGATCAGTGTTAGATCCCAGCCACACAGACGTCTCATCGCTGTCGAATCTGTCTGCAGAATCGACCAGGACATGCACGGCAAAGCGGAGATCGCCACCGCCGCTGTTCCAGAGTGACCCCCGCTCGAACCCCCACGACGTGGAGGAGAACGATGAATGTTTAGAGCTGCAGCCACTCCTACGTTTATGTGACTGGAGACCTCTTTGCGTCAGGAAAGTGCCTTTTCGACACGATGCTGCCTGTTACATTGTGGAACTGTTTTTTTTGTTGTCGTTGCTGTATTTGTGTATCAAGCAGTTTGATCTTCAACATTTTGTCCACATGCTGTCTGAAATGTTTTTAATCCTTTTTATTTACTCTGGTATATCCCGTCAAACTTAGCTTATCGGTGTTTCCTAGTCACTGTTGTATCTACACTTTATTTAAGGCACTCTGTTACAAGTGGTTGGTGCATGTTCTGCTTTATTACATTTAAATGTATGTATATTTATATTCAAAAAGGTGTCAAAGGAGAGAAATTAATATATTTTTATGGTTGATCTGATTTTAAAACTGCATTTTACGTCTCTGACCCACTTGAGTGGCATTTCACAGAACAGGTTTTGACGGCACCTTTCTCACCGTTCACTGCTGATGTTCTCTGTTAAAGTCCTGCCTACTGGGGAAAATAAAGTTGGATTTTTTTGCCCCTCACTTGAATGTACCCTCTCACTCGTGGAGGGTGAACATTTATGAAAGGAACAATCTGAATCAGAGATGTAGGTCTTATTATTTCCTCCGAGTAAAGCCATGGACCCAGACCCACTGCATTGTTTTTTTATTATTCCATTTACTGCCAGTTGTCACAAGCTAGACAATGCTGAACCTATAAAATGACCAAAGCCCAAGACTGTGACAAGATTTCATAAATAAACACTTTTAAACTTATTGAAAAACCTTACTGAAATCAATGCAATCTAATAGAACAGTGCTGTAGTAGGTTATAGATCATTTTTGTTGGAGGTTTTGTTTCAACTATAGGGTCATTTTAGACAACGCTGCCAGTAGAACAGTTTAACAGCATCACATCTTTTTTTAAAAAAAAAAAAAGACATTCTTGGAAACAATTTCAAACTTTGAAATATAACTTTTATTACAAGACTGCATTAGGTTTAGCTCGATGTACATAAAGTGCCAGCTGAGTGTTCTGTTTTTTTTTCCCTCCCCAGAAGAGCTCTTCCACTTTGACTCCACTAGATGGCACCACAATTACAGATTTCATTGAAATCATTAAAAGCCATGGAACATTAGTAATAAGTTAACACAATTGACACCAACATCTTGACCATATTAAAAATCACAGACCACTTAAAGGTGTAAAACAGTATCCTTACAACAACATTAACAACCAGAATATGTTTAGAATTGCTCTTAGAAAGAGAATATTTCAGTGGAAGATCCTTCATATTTTAAATAAATGTGGCACACCGTAGTATTTACCTGTTTGAAGAACTGACTGATAAATTACACTTTTAAATCATCAGGAGCTTTGCTAGGAGTTTGAATCTTGCTGCTGTAACAGTGGGTCCAGGCCTAAAGCTTTGTGATGCAGGATTGACTCCACACACCTGATGGCAATATCATCAACCTCAGGATCAAACTTGTTGGCCAGCAGGTGAGGTTGACTCAGGACCCAGTTGATGTCCCCAACTCCATACACGCACACGGCTCTTCTGTGAATACCGGTACACGGGTAGTAGGGGGCTCCTTTTTGCATATCTCCTTCTAAATAGCTCCACTTGACCACGCGGGCGAGGGCCTGCATGTCTGAGATGTCATACTTGTCGCTGGCAGGCACAGATCCGGGAACTGAAGGAATCCTCTGCAAGGTGGCCCACAGGTGCTCATCAGGGCTGTACGTGTCCTTCTCCCACTCCAGAAACTTTTGAATCTCTCCGTCCTCCATCACGTGCTTCACAAAGGCTCTTGTGACCACAAAGTAGGCATTTCCAGAGAACATGGGGCTGCTGATGGGCGGGGGAGGTTTGTGCACGTATGTGTTTGTGAGGCCATCAGTGACGTTGTAATGAAACTGCCAGCGGGTTTTCTTGTACTCACTGGTGACTTCACTCTCCATGCTGTTCTTTCCATTGAGGGCCTTCAGTGCTTTTACCATCTCTCCATTTGTTTTGATGGGGAAGTCTGTCCCGCAGGTGTTCAGCAGGTACCTCCAGTTGACTGGAGAGTGCAGCAGATCCTTCATGCAGTTCAGATCTGCCTGCACTCTGGACCACGAGGCGTACACCACCCGTTCTAACTTGCTGGCTACAAACACATTAGGAAAGCATGAAGCAATGGCCGCCACAGCTTTCTGAAACTCTGCAGAGGACTTCTGGTCCACATGTACGCAGTAGACGTTCTGGGGCGCGTACACAGCTCGCAGAAGTCGCTCAAACATCTCAATCTTCTCATGGATCACCATTGAGTACGCAATGGGAAAGTTTTCCTCCTCTTTACTGAGAGTTTCTGTAATGAAACCTCTGTTTTCAATGAATGCTGAGCAGTCTTTTGTTGCATTCATGTAGAAGCCCTCAGTGAAGAAAGTTGTCCTTTTTTTAGACGTCAGAAGCTCTTCTAATTCCTTTTTCCTGTCCCCCATGTCTCCACTGAGGATAGCCGAGCAGGCAGGCAGGTCAGCGGAGAACTGCTGTGGTATTTTGAGCTCAGACGATGACTGCCTGTCAGAGCCAGCTTCCCAAAGGGCAAAAGCAAGGAAGGTCCCCACGAAGATGAGACACAAAGTCCTCAGGAACATGTGGCCCTTTGTGAACCTTGCAAAAGCCATTTGTTTCCCAGGAAGAGGCTGCAGTGCAGGTGGGCTTTTCTTCAGCGCAGATTGGAGCAGTTTAACCAAATGAGGAGAGGCTGCAGTGCTTCTTTAGATAAAGGAAGGCCAAGTGAATTATATCCTAAGGAGGCGTGACCAGGGAAGGTGTGGAAAGACCTTTTTTTTTTTTTTGCATATCCTGGTGGAAGTTTCAACATCAGCGCCGATGTTTGCTGTGAATAAATGAACCATTGTGGGATTCTGTGGTGTGAACCAGACCAGAGAATGGAAATGATAAACTTTAATAAAACTTATGTTGTGGCATAGGATGTTTTTGTTTGTTTTTAGCAAACTGCTTAATCAGCTTTAATCATTTTCATCTTTTCTTTTGTAACAGGCACAGCATCCATTCCAGTCCAAATGCTGCAAACATTCTGCAGCACACCTGAGGCTCATCTCAGTTGACTAATTGTGCATCCTTGATTCCTCTCCTCCCTCCCACCAGAGATCCGGGCGGAGGAGGGAGGGAGGAGGAGTCGAGGCAGCAGGTCCTCATTTAGAGTGATGTCATTTAAGTACTACATGGGATACAGCTGTCTCACCTTGTTTTGTGTCATGACCTTTGTCAGACGAGCAAAACAGCATTCATGACAACTTACAGTGTATATTTCAAAAGAAAAAAATAACAACCTCTATATAAAGTTCCAGTCTGGGTTCCTAAAGTTCCACATAAATGAAACTGAGCTCAGTGAGCTTTTGATGGTTGTTGAGGGTTTCAGTCCTGGTGCTGCTTGACCTCAGCGCAG